CACGGCAATTACGGCAAAAAATACGGCATGTGCCGTAACCGTATTAATTTGTAAAATTAATTCTACCACCAACTATATGAAATACCAAAGATCTTTGCATAAGTTTCTGCGGAGCTGGCTTAACGTGTATTACAAAATTATTGATAACTTTAAGCATTTTCCAAATTGCCGAAATGGTCAAAATATTTCAGCCACAGGTATAGTCGCGGAGTCAATTATACTTACCAGTACCAATTTAGCTCTCAAACCAGTGTCCTTTCGCTGTTTAAGGTCATCATATTACTTGTGGACTGGGCGGGAAAAAAAAAGGGTAATAAAGCCCACAAGGCGAGCAATAAATGCCTTTTTAACGACATTCTACCCTTTCTGCCTCACCGATCATACTTACCTTCTTACTTTCTTTACTCATTAACTACACTCATAAAACAATGACAATCATATGCGATCTTAATATTAACTAGAATTTCCAAACAACAAATCTGCAAAGTCATTTGATCTCGCAATAATGATCGCATGTATAAAAAAAAAATCGAAGCTTAAAAAAAATTGAAACTTAGGAAAAAACATCGATAAATTAAAAAAAATGAATAAAAAACAATAAATAAAAAAAAATTTAATTTAATATACTGTATAGTCTATACTATTAAGTATATATTTATACTTATACGCTTAAGATAAAATGCCTTTTTTAAAAATTTATATAATATTTTTTTAGGTTATAAACAATAACATTTGGGTACCGGGTGCCCTTGAACCTTAAGATATTACGATCATAATATAATAAAGGTCCCGATTTTAGTTTTTGCGAGGTTTTTAAAGGTCCTGAATAGTGCTCGGCACAATCAAACAAGAATTTGACAGTCAAATACTTGTGATTAAGACGGACATCAAGATATTTTGACGATAGCGATTTGCGGATTCTTCTTTAGAATCTTCTAATGATCGCAGATCAACGTTGATGCCCGACTTAATCACAAGTATTTGACTGTCAAATTTTTGTTTGATTGTGCCGAGCACTAGTCCTGAACATTTTTACTTAGAATACCCAATCCTATTTACTTAGTACATTTTTGAGATATAGCAACACCAGTGATGATCACCAGTGGTAAATAGCAAACTTCTTTTTAATCTAACTTAATAAAAACAAGATGTATTTGTATTAATTAATTATGCATTAAAAGCAATATATTTTTGCAAAATAACTAGGATTTATTCTGGTGAAATGTATCTTGTGCGAGAAATAATTGTTAGCCCATCTATTAAGTGAAAATGGAATCTCTTGCAATAGATCTGCGGGCAAATCAAAGATAGATGCACTATTACGTGATTAGAGATGTGCATCTCGCGCGAAATGCTGATGTCATAATAAATTATTTACATTATCTCGCGCGAGAATCAATTGAATGACATCAGCATTTCGCGCGAGATGCACATCTTCTATACGTGATAATAAATTACGGGATAAATTTCGGTCGATCGAGATCGGAAAAAAAAAATTTTTTTTTATGCAAAAAAAACATGTATTCAAAAAGAAAAACTCGATATTTGAAAACACATAATGTAGTCGACTCCTCATCCACAAAACCAAAATCTTCATGTAACCCCGGAAAATCAAATCATAGCTCGCAAATTTCATCCGCGCTGTCTCCGGTCGTTTCTAATTCAAACAAATTAACTACCACCCCTACTAAAAATCATCAATCGATTAAAAAACCATCGCAAGTTCTTTTAGGGTTTCCGGATGGGAATATAGTCCTCTAAGAGGATATTAACCCATATTCAAGTAAAATAGGTGGTGTTCCAAATTGGTTAATCAAATCTTTTCTACCTCCACATGATTTTATAATTTGTAAAAATTGTGAAAAAGAAATGTTTTTTATTGTTCCAAGGTTATATACCTTTGGAGGAATCACCTTATGAAAGGATAGTTTATGTTTGGCTTGTAATCAACAAAAATGTATGAAAGGTATGTTTATTTATTATTAATAATTTTACTTTTATGTTATTGAGTAAATCTTTATTTGCATACATAGTTTCAGAGCAATTAGGGCACATAGACTGGATGAAGAATTTATGAAAAATCCAAAGAAAAATAAAAATCATTCTTATAAAGATCAAATAAAAAATGAATTGCAAAAATCTAACCACAATATTTAATGTATGATATCTTTTTCTTGTCAATATTATATAATTTTCTTGGGTGTATACTAAGGATCAATAAAACCGTTTTAGTTGGGTGATACATTCTTCTCAACACAAGACATATCTTCTGCAGTGGGTGGACTGGATGGGATATTATTCGATAACGGTAACGGTGATAATAAGTTGAGCTCAAATATTGTAGGCTTTTGATTCTTGACTATTAAATGTCAGTTTGATATTATAATGCTTCGTATTAAATGGCTCCATTTAACGTTTATGTGTAAAAAAAAAAAAAAATTTCAATTAAAGACATCTAAATCCATGTTGCCGAATGCACAACATGGAGTCAGATCGTTGCCAGATCAACGGTCGTAGATGAGGTTGATTCTAAGCTCTATTATGATGTTTCTACGAAGCTTGTTATAAGCGACGTGTCCGAAATACTTTCAAAATGTAAGCTACCTTTTTTTTATTTCTTTCTTTCCTGGAAAAACGAAACCTTTTAGTGCGCAAGGATCTTGAATTGATTTTTTTGTAATGATTAAAAGCACCATGGCCAGAAAAAATTCCATTTTTTCCTTCCCAATATCTATACATTACCGAAGAGATCTTGGAAGAGAAGCCTGATCCTAATCTAAAGAAATACGAGAGTTATTTGAACGTTTCATTAGATAATAATGAAGGCGATTCGTTTGATTGGATAGGTGAAAATCTCGTCTGCCAAGAGGTTTTGACAAAGCTTTCAGAAAATTTTCAGAATGGCCTGATCAATGCATTAGATGTGTAACATTAACATTAATATTAATAGTAATACTTATTGTAAAGGCAACAACATAATGTTTCGAAAACATATTTGAGCTCACTAATATAATTATTAAAGGTACGAGTTTGACGGACAGTCACTTTTATATAACCAAAGTGATCCAACAGCTTCATTACTACTATCACCGCCACATGGGTCTGTTAAACAGCCAAAATGTTCAAAATGTGGATCCAAGAGAGTTTTTGAATTCCAATTAATGCCAAATATGCTATGCATACTTCCAACAGGAGAGTATGCAGCTAATAGCTCTGAAAAGAAGAGTGGAATAGAAGGTAGCAAATGTGGGATTGCACAATTTGATGTTGGAATCGAATGGGGAACAGTAATGATTTTTAAGTGTCAAGAAGATTGTGAAATATATAATGTTAGCAAAGATGAAGTATCTGAATTGATTTTGGTACAATATGAACTGTAGGGATAATAAGTGAGAAAATTATATTATTAATTACAAGTGTTTATCAATATCAATACTTTTAAAACATTGACAGAAATACTGACATTTTATATTGTATAGACTCTTACACGTTTTAAAAGCTAATATTTAGATTAAGTGAGCACACTTAATTCATTTCAATTCATTAAATATGTTGCATTTGCATCAAATTTTGATATGTACTTTAATTTTAGGTACAGCTGAATAGCCAATACCATTGTGATGTTTATACACAGTTCTTAAAAGCTTTTAAAATAGCATTATAACAATGCAATTAATTTAATCAAAACCGCCTTGAACTATCAATAATTAAATTCATTGATCAAAGCATTTGAATTGTTTGTCTATAAATAGTGAATATTGAGAATTTATTATCTAAATTTACAAAATTCAATAAATATAATTATCTAGAGCTTGAGATAATCTACAAAGAAGAAAACAAAAACAAACCTGGATGCATTACAAAAACATCATAAAAATCAGATTATTTATATAAATATAAAAAAAATTATTAAACCAACAATAGTACTTTAAAAATAATTAAAATCTAATTTCAGAGTTAATGCCTCTTCTTTTTTCCTCCTCTCTAATTTCAAAGAGTATTTGTGCACCACCAAATAATACAATACAGGCAATTCCAAGTTCCATTAGTCCTGATGTTTCAATAAAAAAAAACGAAAATAATAAACTTTTAATTAGATTTTTAATTAAAGACAAAATATCACATACTGCAATGTCATTAATGTAGTAGAAACTTTGGTCTTTATTTTTTTTTAAAGATCAGCCAGGACTTTTTATAAGTCTAACTTTTGGTCTTTAGAAAAACAAAGATCAATTTCTTATCAACATAGAATATGATTATTACCTGTAGGTGTCATAAAAATACTTGTAAATAAAACTTTCATTCCGTCTAATCCGACGACAAATCCAACTAAATTTGCAGCCCACATCATCAAAAAATTCAATATAGCACCAACTGCACATAAATGTCGGTAATGTGGCCAATCACTCCACTAATAAATAATTAAATTTAGTATGCTATTAAATTAATTTGGAAATCAGAAGCAAAATGATAACATTACTTTTTGTGAAGAAAAAAGTTTTTTAGCAATAGTTTCTGGTAAAATAAACAGCCAAATCAACCAACCCCATGCCAGTAACTTTAATGAAATGTCATGCCATAATGCTACAAATATAAAAACTATTAACATATTAAATGTAGTACGTTTGTTTCCACCAAGTGGAATATAAATATATCTGTAAATTAAAGAACATTTACTTAGGAAATTTTAAAATCGCTTAATTAATAAACATTTATCTTTTTATTTACCGAATTATCCATCTATAATAGCTTCGATGCCAGCTACGCCAGAATCCAGCGGTCGAATAATTATTTAACATACACCTTAAAATATTTTCTTGCGTATTTATTCCATCTGACATCGCCCAAAATCTGAAAAATCGCCAGATTATCAATAACTTGAAAAATAAAAAAGTTTAGACATGTTAATTCGATGAAATAAAGTGAAATTTAATATCACTATATACAATCAAACTTGACTTTAATCATCAAAAAAATGTGATTATAATAAGGTTGTGCTTATAGAAAGATTAAATAATATATTTTTAGCAAGTTAGAACTTAATAAAAATATAATTTTATAAATTGTGATTATAGCCAGTATGACGTTGACTGTATAAATATAAAGTATGAAATCACCTTTAACCAAACCAATTCCAAATTGAGAACTCCAATCATAGCCAGTTCAAGTGGTGAATCACCATCCCATGCTTTTGATTTGACAATAGCAACAACGTATGTATAATGAAGCATAAATTCCATTATCATTATTGCAATGAAAAGCCTGATTCCGTATATTAATGTTGCCTTGAGGTCTATTTCACATGGATATCTCAACTTGAAACATAATAGATATAAGTATACAAATTAAGCAAAAAGAGTCCAGTATATCAGTCAAAAGCCTCTAGATGCACATGTCGTGCCTGAAGTTGCTCCTGCCTAAAACTACCTAACTAACTCGTGCAAGATGATCTAATTTCAGGTGACAATTATGACTTCAGGCAGGTATCTACTTCGAGCACGACACATGTACTAATTAAACTTCCTTTAATGCTTGGGTCAAAACCTATAGTAATCATGCTAATATTATGTCCTTTAAATGCATATTTTGAAAAAATTTTATTAATGGTCCCGACCCTAAGCATTTAGAGTTTGAATGTACATGAATCAAAACTTACTTGAGCTATAAAGTTATTATAGGTAATGATTGGGCCAGCCAGATACAATGGTGCATATAAAGCGTAACTTAAATAATAAATAAAATTATAGTCTTCACGAAAACATGGACCAATTATCCGATCCTTTTCAGTCAGAGGCGCAAGATCTCTATCACTTCTCTGCAGATTCATATGTTAATCCGAGATAAGATCGTTAGCAAAGATTAATGTGTTTTGACATTTGACATTAAGATTGTCAATGCCTTTATTTTTATACAGTCATCCTCCTCTATAATCACGCTGTTTGTTTTACATAAAAAAGATGTGATTATAAAATTTTAATAGTAATGTGATTATATAGGGCTTTTTTAATAAATATATTGCCAATAATTTTTCAAAAAATGGTGCTTATAAAGAGGATGTGATTATATAGGAGGTGACTGTAGAGGAGGACGACTGTAACAATAATAATCATTTACATGCGATTCTCCTAGGATTACCTCAGGGGAGTTGTTAGAGGGTTGGAATGACCAATAATAATCCATATTAAAAGACACAAGTCGTAACATACATATATTGAAAGTGACATCCCATCTAGTCATTAATCCAAGATTGTTATCCTTTAAGTTTACAATAAACAAAATAAAATAAATAAAATGAATAAATAAATAAAATAAATAAATAAATAAAATAAATAAATAAATAAAATAAATAAATAAATAAATCTATGCCAGAAATAACGGATATTTAAACATAATATATTCACGTACCAAAAATGCGAAATTTTCATTAAGATCTTCAAACTTGTAATTACCATAAGCTTCATTCAAAAACAAAACACCCAAATTAAATATCCAAGTTATTATAGGGTTTGCGATCGAGCCTTCAAATACCTTCGGTATAAGATAATTTGTACTTAATATCATCAGGATTTTGATGATATTATTACCAAACATAACGTAAAGAAAAATTATTGAGAACCCTAAGAAAAAGTATGTCCTTATGAGGGGCTGATTTTGAAATTTTGCTGGGGATTTCGGTACCAAAAAAATTCGATATAAATGACTCAAAACAAGATAAACTGCTAAGGCAAAAATCAATGCACCATAATGGTCGCGAAATGAGGCGAATTGTATATCGCTATTATCCTATAATCATCAGAATTAAATTGATTAGATGAAATGAATTCAACATTTGATGCAGAAATTTTATAAACTTACCACTTTACGCCCAAATATCCATCCGTCTTGTAATCTCCAAGAATATTTCTTATAGTTTGGATGTGTTTCTAAAAAACAAAAAACAAATACTGTCCATTTATATCTTTATAATTCATTATTCGTAGTATTCATAGATATCATTTCCATATAAGAGTCAGAATAAATGCTAGCGCCCGCCAAAAATTTCCGTAAAATACCTTTACTCAAATCATGTCCGACTTTGAACATAAGTAAAACGGAAATTGTAACGATAAAATAATATAAACCAAACTCCCACGTATTCCATAATGGAGAGTTGATTTTTGTCGGAAGCTTTGTCCTTGAAGATGTTGGAGATGATGATGTTTCTAGTACTGAATATTTCGTAGATGAATTCTCATCGTTATCTTTACTTGTCTCTTTCAAATTATTCAGAGCGAACATGATTAATTATGCTTAAAACAATTAAAAGTAAATTTAAATGTTGATCATTTCATTGTTTATCAGGAAATTTGCCACTCCGCATGCGTGTCACGATATAAAAGGGGCATCTAAGTCATTATCACTCGCCAAATAATAAAAAATAAAAAAAATAAAAATAAAAAAATAAAAACATTCATTTATTCCTTACTATGTCGGAAGCGGAACTTGATCAAAAAATTGAAACTGCACTTCGAAATAGTATCCTTGAGACAAATGCTAAAAATCGGTAAGTTTGCGAAAATTATTGTTATCATGTTCCGAGCCGTACATATATATATATATCTTTGACCCTTTATTTGATATCAGGTTAAAGAATTTATTATTTAAGAGACTCAGCGATAGTGGTTGGAAAAACAGGGTCAAAAAACGATGTACAGGTCAGATCAATTTAATCGTTTCTTTTTGTTATTAGCTATGGTTCACTTTATTTATTATTATTTTTAATAGAGAATATAAGGACTAAAGGAGTAAATAATATCAAACTTGATCAACTGGAGGATGAAGTATTAGCATATGGTCGAGGTATTACTCATTTATTGAATATTATTATTATTATTATCATCCTTTGATTTATTTCTCAAATTGCAATGATTTATTCGGACTCTTGGAATGGTTTGCATTAGAAATTATCCCGGAGGACGTCAAAATAGAACTTTTACAACAAATTTCTGACTTATTAGACGAAACAAAATAGAGTAATTCTAATAATCATCTCGGATGATTATATTAAATATTATCATTGAGATAAACCAATAAAAACTTTATTCTATTATAATAATTTAATTTATATAAATAAAAAACAAAAACAAAGTATGAAATACAAATCAATTCTAACTTTCATTTTAGAATATATATTATCGCATAATAAATACAGTATTTTTCAATATTGCGTAATATTATTTTTATAATCTAATTGTATAATAATTATTTTTTAAACATAGTTATACCGTATAGTTTTTGTACTAAATTGTAAGTTATTTATCAAAAAAAATATATATTAAAAAGTTTGTTATTAGGACATACAAATTTAATAAATTGATTCTCAAGGTCAACTTCTACTAAATTTTTTTAAAAAACTTTTAATTACAATATATTTACTTTCAGGTTGAAATTTTTATTTTATAGAAAAATTTTACGGATTTACTAAAACACTCCATGGTGTTGACTAAGCAATTATTTATCTTAACCTATAACAACACTCTAACTAAACTATACTTATAATATTAAACTTTACTAGTATGTTCTATATTTCTTATATATATAAAATTTTTTAAAACTAATTCTTTATTAAAATAGTTAAATTTTATGGCAAAAATATTCTATAAATATTTTTGTTTACAATTACATTATTCTAATAACTAGCTAATTAATTAGTATGCGGTGTTCTAAGTAACATTTTGGATGTTCTATAGAATAGGTAGGCAAACTCCGCAACTCCGCTAAGTATCTATTAATGATTACTAATCATTAGCGAAGCTTATTTCTTATATTCTATAGAACATCCAATATTTATAATAAATATTTAATATCAATATAATAGATAGTTTTTTTTTTGACAGTCTTGTCTTTTTTAACTATAATAAAGTATATTACAAAGCTAATATTTGTTATCTCTTAAACTATGATTTTTGAAAAGTTTTTTTTTTAAAATTTTTCAAAATTTATTTAAGCCTTACTTCTCTATTTATTAAGTAAAAATTAAAGATATTTGTTTTATTATTTTATCTTTGATTTTGGCAAAGATATTACTTTTTTTTTTTTTTTTGGTGTTATGGTGACCTTTTTGGCCTGGGAACTTTTTATTAGAGTATAGACAACATTTTATAGTATAATTACAACAAGAGTACATCAAGCCACATATGCACTTTTGGTGCCTAATTTAAGTAATTTGTCTGAAGCATTAGTGCTATACTAGGGGTTTTACACTATTTGTTGTACCTGTATCCCAACTATGAAGGCACTCATTTAAACTTTCTAATCATACCTTAATTCCATCAAGTAGAACTTCTAACTTTACCAACTATCTTTTGATATCATTGAAATACTTATGTGCCTTAGGACAAGACCAATAGTCCTTATTTATCCTTAAAATAAATCTACTAAAGTGGCCCTGCTCACTTAGAGTATACATCTAGATTTTTTGATAATTACACCATGGCTTAACCTATATACTTGGGGTCAAGGCTAACTATTGAACCTCTACAGTTACTTACTATTACTCTTTTAAAGTTCACAGATTCCTGTACCAATTTCTATTATTTTTCACACCTTACTCTTTTTGGTATTGTTAGTCTTTCAATCTAATTAGTCTGCCCAGACCTAAGTTTTTCAGGCTCAAGTTTGAAGGTTTCTCGATCCTTGGTTCATGATTTTATAACACATGATCTTTTTCTCTAAAGTTTCATTCTAGAATCTTTTACTAGTCATCCTTAAGAAAAGTACAACTAGAGTGGCTCTAGTGATCTCATCAGCCTGGTTAGTAGATCCTTTTTGTCCAAAGGATCTTTGTTGCACAACTTTTCTAATTTCTAGGATTTAGTCAAATATGTTCTGTAGTATCAGGTAGTACTAGGTTAAATCTAATCTATTACTTCCTTAATCAAGATTTGCCAAGCCAGTTTTGGTTCTCTCAAGTTATCATAAGTAGGTCTTAATAATGTTTAATCTAAAAAGCCTTATTACAAGTTTGTACCATTTATACCAGTTTGCATTCTTTTGTGCAATAATACAAATGTTTTCATATCTCCAAAACCACACTTGAGGCATTAGTATATACTAGTTTACAGATGATATAAATTTAGCCCAATTTAGAATATGCTATTATCATAGCACAGTAAATTATTTAAAATATTATTAGTAGGAATCAAACTCAGTACTATAACCAAACTAATTTGGAGTGCGACAACTTCACCACTTCACTATGTTGCTATACCTTTAAAAAAACATTATTATAATATTATTATAATACTATAATTATTAATTAATAACTAATTATAATTCAATAATTAAACTTTTTTTAACAATTACTTGAATATTATAATTCAATAATTAAACTTTTTCTAACAATTACTTAAACTAAAATTTTCCAAATCTGCTAATATAAAAAGCTTTTTGTTATTCCTCTTGTCTTTTCTATTTGACTTCTAAAAAACTTTGTTGATAAAAATCTTTTTCTATCTCAAAACACTATCTTTACCAAAATTTTCTATACAAGAGTACTACTTGCTAGTTATCTTGTATTAGAATACTTTTAGCTTGCATGCCAAATATATAGAGAAGTTCTTTACTTGATCTTTACAAAAACTACCTCATTAAACTGCAAAGCAACCTTATTTCCAACAAAATTTTTATTTCTCTTTGAATAGAAAATTTGGATACAGGTGATCGTCAGTTAGAGTTGTAAACAGTGTTGCTATAGGACAGAGACACAAACAATAGACAGTCTACCAAAATGTTAATGTCTTAGACAATTAAATATTATAATAAAGAGTGTCCTTTTTAGCCAATAAGAATGCTTGATAAACTTTGTAATATAGGATACCATTACGGATGTAGGACATTGTCCAGGACATGAAACATTGTCTGAGACTGTTTGTGTCCCTAAAATTTTCATAAAACACTATCCATATATAACACTAGTTGTAAATATATATATTAACAACTAGTTATTTTTTTTTATTTTATTTTTTTTAAATCTTTAACAGTTTTGCCAGTGCTCAATTTATTAAGACTATATTTAGATAAGAGTTAAACTCTCTTGAACAATATATTATCATTTATAACCAGAACAGAGAGTTTCACAATTGCGAGCCTAATATCACTTAGCTGCAATAAACATGCCCTTATATAACTTGTTATATCAACCTGTATACAAGTTAGATAAACTTTGTTAGCCTATCAAAGCTTTTCCCTTCATATTCTCTTTCTTTACTAAGAGCAAAAGAAAGTGATGATCTTTATATTTAATACAAAACTACCAATAATACCAAGAAGACAAAACGAAAAACTAACTAAAAAAAACAAATAGAACAAAGAAGAATTTTTAAAGAAAACAATAAAAGGAGGTATAATGAAATATAAAAAAAGAAAACCAAAAAGAAAAGCCTGAGAGCTATCTTTATTAAGAAATAGTACAAACGAAATGAAAGAAAAACAAAAAAATATACTATTTTCGAATTTTATCAAAAACGACATTCTATATTACAGAACTTGCTACACATATACTTTGGAACAGCTTTTATGATTTTATTTGGAAAGACAGATATATCAAGATTGTCGATTGGGAAAAGAATCATAATATTAAGAAGAAGAATAAAAGAATTAAGAAGACCAAAGAAGTACAGCCAAAGAAAAATACTTCAACTATTCATAAAGAAAAATCCAAAAGAGAAGGAGTTGAAATATTTGTAAAGAATAAGGAGAAATACAATATATAGTATAATGTAGTAGGGAATTAGATACAAAAGGGTGTAAACCTCTTTTGGACAAGCTCATAAAAGAGTCTATTTCTAGCTTATCTATAAGCCAGTGCGATAGGTTGTACCCAAGTAATCATTAGATAACTAGGCAGAGTTGGGCTTTTATTTAGTCTTAGAAATTATGTATATAGCTTATATGTACTACAAACTAAGAGTTCAAGTCACAACAAGATCTGTCAAAGAATAAAATATATATTATTATAACCTGTATCAGGTTTAAAAAAAAAAATTTATAACAATTGCAATGTTTGTATATCTTGACTATAAAATCTAACAATTTATTATCCAACTACCAGCCACCTCCAGATGTCTCTTATGCCAGAGAACTGATTCCAGTCATGTGAAGAACTCGTATCTATAGATTATGTTACATATTATATCTACTGATAAACAAAGCATATAGTTGTATTCTTGAATACATCTAAATTTGAAAGGTAAACAATACCGATCTTTTAAAAGGGGTAAACCAAATCACCTACTTTTTGTTGAAAATTTTGGAAAAGACCGGCCAAGTGAAAAACATCTAGAGAGAGACTACTTGCATCTAAAGAAGTAGTTATATCTATGTAAAGACTCAACAACTTCTAAACCTTCTTCTAAAAAAAAAGTGAGGCACCTATACTTTTTTTTGGTGAATGATAAACTCTAAGCTTGTTAGCAAGTAGTGTATGAGAACTACTTCTAAACAACAAGTACCATGTATGTGATGAGTGATAAACTCTGAAGAAGTTAGCAGATAGTGTATAAAAACTACTTTTAAATAACAACTGCTGACTTATAGCTGCTAGTATACCCTAAATACTATTGTGTTTTTTACAAAAAATGTGTTTAGATTTTTTGGTATAGATAATTATTGGAAAGAGTTTTGATATTGATAACAACTAGTTATTAATTAACAATTATAATATTATTATAATAATATTATAATAATATTTGTCACAGCTGATGCTAAAATTGGCTAATGCTAAAATTTTGACTTATTTTATTATAAAATTTTAAAAAATTTCAGGCCTTTTTATTTAGTTTTTTTTTAGTATTAGATTAAGGTTTGAGAGTAGAGTTGTTAGTAAAAAAGTATATATGAATTTTAGTAGATATTATAGATTTAAATCGGGATTTTAAATTTCAGTATCAGCTCATGACAATATTTTTTTTAAAAACATTATTATAATATAATAATTACTAGTTGTAAATATATTGTGAGAAAAAACTATTT